AGGCAGGGACCCCACCTGGCCTTTCAGCCTCCAGCCACACCCAGGAGCCATCCTCTATAGGGAGCTGCTCAAAGGACTTGTTTTGTTTGTTTTTCGTTTGTCATTGGAGGTGGGGATGGATGAGAAACATATGGAAAGATAGTTTTCTTCTGAATTGCATACGTTTAAGGAACCTTGAACAGGTGGAAAGGGATTTGTATGTTAGCATTGCTCTGGTAACAAAAGTAGTTTTGTACACTTTCAGGAAAGGTTTTTGGATTATGTTTCTGAAGTCTGGCCCATGAGGAGTGTTTTAGATGTTCACAATTTAATAATTATGGAACCCGGTTTGTGCTGGGGTACTAGCAGTCTCACCATGACTCAGTCTGTAGGTTTCCTTTGGAATTGCTCTTATTCACCAGGCCTTTTCAGTAGGAGAGAGGGAACCACCCTCCTCAGATCTTGAGAAGGGGCCTGTGTGGCCAAGCATCTCAGAGCGCCACCTTATGGAGAGAGTCTGGAATGACAGGAATGTGCTCACCCTAGAGCTGATGGCCTGTGTTGTGTCTTGGGAGCACATGCCCTCCTGAATGCTACTCTGATGATGAGAAGGTAGTGCCAGGTGAGAAATCAGGACCTTTGGCCCCGGCCAGCGGGGTTCAGTTGGTTGAGCATCGACCCATGAACCAGAAGGTCACATGGTTCGATTCCGGGTCAGGGCACATGCCTGAGTTGCAGGCTTGATCCCCAGTAGGGGCTGTGCAGGAGGCAACTTGATCAATGCTCAATGGTTTTCTCTCACATCAATGTTTCGCCCTCCCTCTCCCTCCCTCTCTTACTAAAATGAATAAAAACGTATTTTTAAAAAATCAGGACCTTTGGTTTTCTACACTTTGCATGTAGGGAAGCTTATTAATTCCTACCCCTTGAGTTTAATTGGGGTCCACAGCCTGTTTTCTCTGAAAGGAAGAAATGAACACCAGTGTAAACTCTGAAAGGTTATATAGTCAGGTGCCACACAGTGACAGTAACATCAGACCACATATATGACGGCTGTCCTTTAGGATTATAATAGAAGTGAAAAGTTCCTATCGCCTAGTGACCTCTAGCCATGTTCATTGTAGTGCAACACATTACCCACATGTTTGTGGTGATGCTGGTGTAAACAAGTCAGCTGCCAGTTGTATAAAAGATGTTACTTACAATTATGTACAGTGCATGATGCTTAACAAGATAATAAATGACTGTCACTGGTTTATATATTTATTATGTGGTACTTTTTATCATTATTTTAGAGTGTACTCTTTCTGCTTATTTCAAAAAAAAGCACAAAGGTTTTCTGTAAAAATATGCATGTTTTGCCGGCAGCAGCGTCATACATCTTGTGTTTACAGCGCCTCTTGATTACATAATTCTCTTTTAAAAAAAAAATGTTTTTATTGATTTTAGAGAGAGAGGAAGAGAGAGAAAGAGATAGAAACATTGATAAGAACACCTTCTGCACACCCCCTACTGGGGACCAAGCCCACAACCCAGGCATTGGCCCTGACCAGACTCGAACTGGGGGCCTCCTGGTGCATGTGTCAGTGCTCAATCACTGAGCCACACCGGCTGGGCGTGTAATTTTCTCTTGTGTGTGATTTAATCTCGTGTTGTTTTGCACAGTAACACCCTGTACAGGCTGTAGCCTAGAGCAATGGGCTGTACCATACAACCTAGGGGTGCGGTGGGCTGTACCATCCAGGTTTGTGTAAGTGCACGCTGATGTTCGCACAGTGACAGCATCGTCTACTGATGCATTTCTCAGAATGTACCCTTGTGTTCAGTGGCGCATGGCGTGTTTTATAAATAGGTACTGTAAATACATAGTGCAAGCACTCTCGTAGGACACGCTGAATGTCCCAAGTACGGAGGAGTGCTATGCCAAGGCAGAGGCCCTGGCCCTGGTGGCTGCCATGTGGGAGCATCCAGCAGCTTGAGGTTCATTTGGGAGCTGTGCCCTACTGTCTCTTACTGTGGATGAGTGTGCTTCCCTCCCCGAGTCAGCGTCATTGTTTGCAACAGGGAGAGCAGTATCTACCTCTTAGAAGGTATGGGGAGGACTAAATGAGGTTTGATCCTGCAGTGAGTCCCGCACATAGTAGGGGCTTTACCCCCTTTAGAGGACAGTGGACACATCTCCTGCAGGCCATCCTCACCACCACCATCCCTGTGGGAGTCATGGGAACCAGAGGAGTACTCAGTAAGAATCCCTGTACAGAAACTGAAGGGTAGCCCAAGCCCTGGAAGTAATGCTAGGAGTGACTGCAGTCCGTAAATTACAGACAGAAAACAGACTTCCCTAACACTGTTAACAGTTACACAGAGGAGGTCTCTGCTGCGATCCAGGATGTTGGGAATGCGAGGTCAGCTGTAAGGCCCTGGCCTCAGCATGGGAGCGAGCTGTGATTGCCCCGGAGTACAGCTTTGGTGGAAAGGCCTGTCCCAGCGTTTGGAGATCAGGATAGAGCTGATAAAAATAGTTGGTGACCTAGAACACTGTATCTTTTTAAAGGGAGTCGGGCAGCCTTGATCAGTTGTTTTTAGATACAGACGTTAATCATTAAAGCAGGGCCAAGCTCCACCGCTAATAAGGGTGCTGGGGCATGTATTTGGCCTTGGATAGGAGTGGTGTGTTTGGACGCCCTGGGGAAGCAAATCTTACTAGATGGCGTGGAAGCAGTTTTTCCCCTTAAGTGCATTTTATAAGAACCTAATTAATGACCAACAGTGAACATGAATGTAAACTAGGATGATGTAGGTTTATCATCATCTATAATAATAATCTATAATAATAAAAGGGTAATATGATAATCAGACTGAACGTCATTCTGGATGTCCTTCCTGATGAAGCTGGGGCTGGAGGGAAGCCAGCCTTGTCCCGGGTGCCTGCAGGCGGCCCAAGGGAAGCAGCCCAGGTCTGGGTGCCAGAGGGAAGCTGGTGCCGGCAGCTGGGGAAGGAAGGCCTACTCTTGCACTCGTGCATCGGGCCTCCATTTGTAATAAATGTGCTGCACTCGGGGGGAGTGTTGATAATGGGAAAGTCATGCATATGTGGGGGCAGGTGGTTATATGGGAAATCTCTCTATCTTCCTCTTAATTTTGTCTCGAACTTAAAACTTCTCTAAAAAGTAGTTTATTTATTTTTTTAAAGTAGTTTATTGAAAAATATTTAATTAACAGAGACTTGGACATCAGTTACCTTCAGTTTAACAATTTTATTAGAAAATAGTAAGATTTAATCGGAATATTAGGTTTGAAATGATGACTTTCCCTCATTGTGGCTTCACGTTTTGCCCCGCACTGTCTAAGAAGGGCTGTTTAGAGGCACCTAGAGTCAGTCCAGTCCCTACGGGTAGGCCTCGCCCAGCAGGCTTTGTTTGTGTCTGCGGGAGGCGGGGCGCTAGAGGGTGGTGTGGGCAGGCGCTCTGAGTGAGCTCAGTCTGTTTGTCTTGCTGTTGGAGGTGGAGGGCTTCAGGGCAGATGCGGCTCTAAGGCAGATGCCGTTCCCAGGTCACTTCCAACTCCTGCCACTGTTTGCTTCCCGCAGAGCGTCCTGTCGTGTGCAACCAAGGAGCCAAGGCCAGACACGCCAATACAGACGGACGGAGGACGCTCTGGCCGCTGGGCCCTGCTGCCTCCCTCTTCTCCCTGTTGCTTGCCCCTGGAGGATGAGCCCAGCTTTCAGGGCCATGGACGTGGAGCCCCGCGCCAAGGGCGTCCTGCTGGAGCCCTTTATCCACCAGGTCGGGGGGCACTCTTGTGTGCTCCGCTTCAACGAGACGACTCTGTGCAAGCCCCTGGTCCCGAGGGAGCACCAGTTCTACGAGACTCTCCCAGCTGAGATGCGCAGATTCACTCCCCAGTACAAAGGTGAGCCCCCTGCTGCTGGTAGGGGTCGCCAGGCGCTGGCGAGGAGATGTGAGGCGTGGTGACCTCCGTGGCAGCCATACCCAGAGCCTTCACCCCTCCCACTCACCCTGTGTTTTCCCTCCGCCTCCTCCTCCTCTTGGCCCTCAGCCCAGCACCTCACACCCTCAGTTTTCAAGCCCTGGTAAGATTGCTCAATTGTCTTTTGTTTTGTGGATTGCTTTGAGTTTATTTTGGTTTTTGGTGAAAGTGTAGTTGTGTTTTATGTTCAAGTGTCTCTTGATCACAGTAACCCATAGTCTCCATGGAGGGACAGCGGGGGAAGACTCTGGGAGGATTTTGCCCAGAATACTGCGGCCGGCTTTTTGTCCTCCAGAAAACCAGAAGCCCTGGTGATTAGGTAGGCTCGGGAGCAGGTTGAGTCAGATGGAATGCAGGAGTGGGAGGCCTGTGCTGACTAGCTGAAGCCCAGTTACGGAATGTCCCTGAAATTGCCATGTTACAGCAACCTTCCGATCCACATATGGTGACTCTGCCTTTTTATAACGCATTTTGGGGGGACGTCAGAAGCCACCAGCATGGTGTGTTCTTTCCTGGGGAGGTGGGGTTCTTTGTAAATTAAGGATGAATCCATTAAGGAAATTAATGTAAAATGTGTATTGTCTGATTAAACAAAAGACTCTTGAACAACTTAGGCTCTTCTGGGACTGTTGAAACACACTCTTTGAAGACACAATGTGCTGGGCACCTCTCTGTTCTGAATATGCATGTGTGTTGTGGTGGGGCGGGAGAGTTGGGGGCCCTCACTTGGTCCTTCTCTGTTGTTTTTTCCAGGACAAAGCCAAAGGCCCTTTGTTAGCTGGCCGCCCTGCCCCTTTTTTTCCCCTGGTTCTTTCCCCATGGCCACAGGGAAGTGTGGCCCCTGAATCCCCGCCCCGGCTCCTGTGCGTCCAGAGCCGGGGACCACCTCAGCAGTGTCGTCTCTCTCTGAGCACGCATTCCCCTGCAGCGGGCGGGCAGCAAGGACTGAGCACATTGAGTGATCCTGGGCCAGAGAGGTCTGGGAGGAAAGGTGTCCAGCCAGTCGGTTGTAAGGCGCTCGTCGACACCTGCTGAAATGCTGCCAGTTGACAAACCCTCCTCAGAGACTGACTGATTACACACGCAGGTGCTAGAGACTGAAGGGGGAGAGAGCTGCTCTCCAGGCACCACCATCTGTACCCCCAGCCCAGCCCTATTTGCCTTGTGTTTATTTTGTTCTTTTGTGATATGAGATCTCAAGAGACCAATAAAATAACCTTTGAGAAGGACAGAGGCTTGGGGCGCCCACCTGTATGGGGGTGCTGCAAGAAGCCTCTGCTAGGGTGTCTGTTGTGCCGTGTGGTTTGTTTTGTTTGCTCCTTTATTTTGTTTTGCTTGCCCAGTCTCTCCTTACCCTTGGATGCTGCTTACCCCTCAGGCACACCTGTGTCCCGTGTTCAGGCTCTGCTATAAAGCAGGCCTTGAGGCCATTGGAGTTTCTGTTTAGGGCATTAAAAATCCCCACAAGATATAAAGAGCAAATGTTTTCCACCTCTCTTAAGAGTAGAAGGATTACATAAAAATTAATAAACGTTTTCAATGATGGAAAAGCGTGTCTTGTAATTATTTGGCCCTTGCCTTGTTGAGTGCATCAGAGAGGAAGCCTCGGCTGTATTTGCTCCCTAATTGCTTGTCTGTGTGGTGTCATCTCTTCTAGTGTTTTGATATTTGTTAGGTTTGCAGATGAGTTTGGGGCCTCTGGCAACAGAGAGACTAAGGAACAGGGTAAGAGAAAACCACAAATGTTACAATCATGTTATTTATAACATATGTGGAATTGAAAGTTCTCTCTGCTTCTGTGCAATTAATAGTCCTCTCTGCTCCTTACCCCCCTTCTAGGTGTGGTGTCTGTGTGCTTTGATGAAGATGAAGACAGGAACTTGTGCTTAATAGCATATCCCTTAAAAGGGGACCATGGAGCCATGGACAGTGTAGACAATTCAGACTGTGAACCAAAAAGTAAGCTCCTAAGATGGACAAACAAAAAACATCACGTCCTTGACCCAGAGAAGACCCCCAAGGACTGGGTGCGGCAGCACTGGAAGGAGGAGAAAATGAAGAGGTGGGTGTAAGCTGAGGGGAACCCTGGACTCTGGGAGGGAGGTGGCGGGGGATCCTAGTTGCAGCTCAGTGCCCTGGACCTAAGGATGCACTTCATGCACTTAGTAGGTGCCTTGTCACTCAGTGGCATGCGGAGCTTCTCTGCATTACATTGACGTTTGGAGAAGTGGCTGTGGTGGCAGCTATAGAAGGATTTCAGTCACCTTCCTCAGTGCCAGCCCCTGTGCTGCACCCTGGGGATGTAGCTGTCCTAAGACAGCCATGGGTTCAGGTTGGTCACTGATAGTGGGAGAAAATGGTCTGCTGGGCATCCCCTCAACTCAGGATTCCACCTGGGCGGGGCCTTCTGGTGCCACACCTTGGAGAGCTTGTAAACATACCAGTTGAGGCCTGTGTAGTATAGTTATAGGCTGGCTATGGCCATGGAGTTTCAGTTTCGATTTCCCCAGTCTCCAGCTTTCGGAGTCAGGGAACCTGGACTACCAGAAACCAGGGTGGTACCGCCTTGAAGAAGGCTGTGTAGGCTGCCTGTGGGGCTAGTGGGGAGGCAAAGGCTGTTCTTGCATTGTAGGTTCTCCTTACTGTAGAAAAACAGTGAGCTGGCCTCTTAATAAAAAAAAAAAAAAAGATCGCCTTTCCTGAGGTATAATAGACATACAGTGACATGTACCTTTTTAAAGTGTTTGATATGTACAATGAAACCACCATATCAAGACATCAAACTTCCCATCACTCTACAAAGTGCTTCCTTTGGCCCTGAATTTGATAAGACAATGTGATTTATTGATTCTTTATCTCTTTATAGCCATAAGTTAGAAGAAGAATTTGAGTGGCTCAAGAAATCTGAAGTCTTGTACTACAGTGTAGAGAAAAAGGGGAATGTAAGTTCCCAGCTTAAATACTACAACCCCTGGAGCATGAAGTGTCACCAGCAGCAGTTACAGAGAATGAAGGAGAATGCAAAGCATCGGAACCAGTACAGTATCCTTGGTGTACAGAGCATCTGTCTTCGGGGGAGGGGTGGTGGTAAGGAGCCCCTCGGAGCTTGGAGAGAAGGGTGTGAGCCGTTAGTCCTGGTTGTGCCGGGACACTACTATGTGACAGCTGTGCCAGAGTCACTGCCCTCAGGCCAAGGGCTGGTCTGGGAATGCAAATGTGGGTGCGGTTTGAGAGGTTTGGGGGGATGAGCGGCTTCTTAGTTAGGAACCAGTCTGCATCAGGAGGCCTTTAGCCTAGAGTGCAAGGGGCAGGTTCGTATTGAGACTCCTACAGAGGCCCCCAAACAGCTTCCTTGCCAAGGGTCAGGTGGGGCAGACAGACCTGCCCATCCCCTTCTCCAGGCTGACCCATGAGGCAAGCACAGGCCGCGTTTATCTCCCTTCTTACCCACCAAGCTATGTGCTCATTGATTATTTAAAAATATGTTGTTACTGATTTTAGAGGAAGGGAGAAGGGGAAGAGATAGAAACATAAATGATGAGAGAATCATTGATCAGCTGCCTCCTGCACACCCCCTCCTAGGGACTGAGCCTGCAACCCGGGCATGTGCCCTGACCATGACCTCCTGGTTCATGAGTTGATGTTCAACCACTGAGCCACACCAGCTGGGCTTGATTTTTTTTTTTTTAATCCTATAGTGGGAAATTCCTCAGAATTGAGTGTGTGTGGGAAAAAAAATTGAGTGTGTTTTATTTTTAACATTTTATTAGGGAAAAATTTAAACCTGTTAAAAATAATACATGTTGAACCTTTAAGTACCAATTACCCAGGTTCGGCAGGAAACCCACCCATGTCATTTCTATGTACACCCAGCACCGACAACTGAACTGTTTCGGAGGGAAGTCTCAGGTGTAGCGTTGCCCCTGTGTACACCCAGCATGCATCTCTAAGAGATAAGCGTATTTATTTATTTATTTTTATATATTTTTTAAAATATATTTTATTGATTTTTTTTACAGAGAGGAAGGGAGAGGGATAGAGAATTAGAAATATCGATGGGAGAGAAACATCGATCAGCTGCCTCCTGCACACCTGCTGGGGATGTGCCCGCAACCAAGGCTCATGCCCTTGACCAGAATCGAACCTGGGACCTTTCAGTCCACAGGCCGACGCTCTATCCACTGAGCCAAACTGGTTAGGGCAAGATAAGGGTATTTAAAACATTATTACTATTGCTATTCTTGAAAAAGTGGACAGTAATTCCTTCCTATGAAATCCCTAGTTTCTGTCCACAGTTTCCTAATTGTCTCCTGAGTAAGCTTTGTATTGATAGTCTCCTTGAAGGGGGATGGAGATGAGGTTCACGTGTTGCTTTTGGTTGACATGTGTAAGGTTTTCTAAGTACCCTTCGTGTTTTTTCTTAGAAATTTCTTGTTGAAGAAATTGGGTCTCCTAGAGTTTCCCACTATCTGGGTCTTACTGATTACATCCTTTCGGTATCTTACATGTTACTCTGTCTCCTCTGTTTCCATCAAGTTGATCATTTTATCTACAGGCTTGATCAGATTCAGGTTCAGTTGGGGTGAGGGTGGGGTGGTGACCAGAGCCTCAGACATGGTGTCCACCGGGAAGCATGGTGTTCAGTTGCCTTTTCTTTTGTATGGTCCTTAGATCTGTTTTTTTCATTAGGTGACGTTCTGCTTTTGACATTCCTTCATTCATAAGCTGGAATCCTACTATAAAGAAAAACTTTTCCTCATTAACTACGTGCTTATCCTGAGGTATACTTTATATAGGAAAAGCAGAGTAAATCCTTCCATTTATTAGAGATGTATTTGGAATAATGAGTTGGTTTCTTGACATCCTCCAAAGGTTTCCAGTGAGTTTTTTAGCATAAGTATTAATCCATTAATTTAAACATATTTGACATGTTTCCGTTCATTGCAGTTGTCTTTATTGATGCTCAAATTATCACACCTTTGCCAGTAGGAGACTTTTAAAATAAGCTCCTGAGTCCCTTGGACACAGTCACAATAGTCTGTAAGCACTGTCTTACTTTCTGGAAAGAAGTCCACGGTCATGTATGTTTCCGGCTCCAGATGTGAACTTAATCATTCCTCTGAGGCAGGGGCTGCAAACCTTTCCAGTTAAAGGCCCAAATAGTAAAGACGTTAGGTCTTGCAGGCCACATACTCTCTGTCACAACTGTCGTTGTGGCATGACAGCAGCCACACTAGTAAATGAATGAGTATGGCTGTATTCCAATAAAACTGTTTATGGTCCCTGAGATTGTCATTTCATTTTCATGTTTCATGATGGAATTGTGGGTTGTGGGGGGTCATGCATCTGGTCATTGTTTCTAGACGTTTTTAGTGTATGCAGCTGGGAAAGACATTTATTTTTCTTTAAATATATTTTTTATTGATTTCAGAGAGGAATGGAGAGAGTGAAAGAAACATCCGTGATGAGAGAGAATCATTGATCGGCTGCCTCCTGCACGCCCCACTGGGGATTTAGCCCGCAGTCCGGGTGCCTTTTAGCCCAGTTGTCAGCCTTGGTCTCCTTGTGTGGGAGATGGCAGGACTGGTGGGCCCTCTGTCGTGTTGGGCTTCTCTGGGCACTGTGTGCAGGCATTGTGCCCTGGGAGTGGAGTGCCAAAGGCCCTTGCAGTGTACCTGCTCTTTAGAGGGTCTTTTCCTTAACCACTCAGAATTTATCTTACTGGAGAACCTCACTTCCCGATATGAGGTACCTTGTGTCCTGGACCTCAAGATGGGGACACGCCAGCATGGTGACGATGCTTCAGAGGAGAAGGCAGCCAACCAAATCCGAAAATGCCAGCAAAGCACCTCTGCGGTCATTGGTGTGCGCCTGTGCGGCATGCAGGTGAGGAAAGCTGGTGCATGGTGTGGGCTGCCGCCCCCCTATCTTGGCATAGTCCTATGTTTTCTCAAAAGAGACCAGATTTGACTAACACTTTCTGGTTAGAAAAGAAAGCACGCATGCCTGGGTCATCCCTTCTGGGGCTGGCCTGGCTGGCCGAGTCCAAAGTCTGTGGACAGGAGGGGGCGGGCAAGGCAAGAGGGTTAGGTCCTCTCCATCAACCATATACTGAACACAGAGCTGGGGGCAGAACCCACGTCAGAGGGTTGTATCCTGGGTGTTGATTGGCAAGCACAGCGTTTCCTGTGACTCAACAGGTTAGAGACTCTGATTGATGCAGGGCTGTTGTTATCCCAGCCACGCCCCAGGGGCCCGGCTTTGAGGTGGCGGTCAGCCCTGACCTGCTGGTCTCTCTCCCACAGGTGTACCAGGCGGGCAGTGGGCAGCTCATGTTCATGAACAAGTACCATGGCCGGAAACTGTCGGTGCAGGGCTTTAAGGAGGCGCTTTTCCAGTTCTTCCACAACGGGCGGTACCTGCGCCGCGAGCTCCTCGGCCCTGTGCTCAAGAAGCTGGCGGAGCTCAAGGCCGTGCTGGAGCGACAGGAGTCTTACCGCTTCTACTCCAGCTCCCTGCTCATCATCTACGATGGCAAGGAGCGGCCGGAGGTGGCCCTGGACTCGGACGCGGAGGACTTGGAGGACCTGTCCGAGGAGTCCGCCGACGAGTCGGCCGGGGCCTACGCCTTCAAGCCCCTCAGCACCAGCTCCGTGGACGTGCGCATGATTGACTTTGCCCACACCACCTGCCGGCTGTACGGCGAGGACAGCGTCGTGCACGAGGGCCAGGATGCTGGCTACATCTTCGGGCTCCAGAGCCTGATAGACATTGTCACAGAGATCACTGAGGAGAGTGGGGAGTGAGCTGGCCGACTGTACTGGTCCTTGCCCCTCCGTGTCCCGGGCACAGCTGTGCTGCGTCCAGGAGGAAGCCAGTGTGGCCAGGGGTGGCCTCTGCAGCCTGGAGCTGACGCACAGAGGCCTCGAGTCCCGCCTGAGCCGGCCCCACCGCGCTCCGAGTCTATTTATTTTACTGTTTCTTCAACATTCCATGTTTGATGAACAGATACCTCTCTTCCCTGAGTGTAACTGTCCTAATACAAACCCTTTTGTTAATTGTACACAGTGCTGCTGTCATTTTTTTTTATTGAATTTGTTGGGGTGACATTGGTTAATAAAATTATATAGATTTCAGATATACAGTCTATAGTAACATCATCTGTATATTGTGTTTATACCAGCCCAGGTCGAGTCTCCTTCCATCACCATTTACCCCCTTCACCTTTCTAACCACTGCACGCCCCGTCTTTCTTGCCAAAGGCAGACAACCGGCTCCCCTTCCAACCCTCAGAAGCCTCCTCACCTGGGACCCTTCCATGGGCCTTTGAGTCACCACAGCCTCCTGGCTTGGTCCTCAGTCTCTTAACCTAGCACCCCGAGGTAACCCCCAAAGGACCCCGACATGGATCACCTTTGCCGATTGCTGTGGGGTCCGCTAGCCGAGTGTCCCAGCGCCTCTGGAGAGAATTACACTGGACTCTGGACCGGTCTTCCTGCCCTCATGCAGCTTAAGCCAAACCTGGCAGCAGCTCATTGGCTGGACATTGTGATGTCAGAGGACTCGGAACCAATATTGGGGTAGCCACCAGGCTCGGCTGCTGGCAGCAATGGGCTCTGTGGTGAAGGGTCCCAGGAGATGGCTGTGCCATGAGGGGTGTCCTGGGCAGGTTGGCTCTCGGCCTCACCACCCGTCACCACAGTATTCAGCCCTGGGCCCTGGCAACCGCGCCTGTCTGGTCCTTCAGCCAGGGCAGCCACAGGAGAGCTTGTGCTCGGTGCTAGGAGGGCTTCTGGGAGGAGGTGTGTGTGGCAGGAGGTCTTGAACTGCAGAACCAGACACCAGGGAGCACAGGATCTGAGTGCCATATTTTAGCAAGTCTCACCCCTCCCCTGGACCCCCGGCATCTCCTCTCCAAGGCCCAGTATCCCTCTGTCCAGGATGTCCAAAAGCAGGCCGCGCGCACCCTGGTTTGGTTGGGCCCCCAACCCTGCTCCCAGCCCAGGCTTCAGTGGGGAATGTGGGTGGACCAGGCGGGCAGAGATGGGAGGGCCCCAGAGACCCCTACTGCAGACCCTCAGGGCCTCTCCCCCGCTCCCCTCCTCCCAGCTTCCCTCCTCCCAGCACTTCAAAGACCTCCCCTTCAGGCTCCAAGGCACCCACTCCACCCTCAGGGCGACACCTGCAGGCAGCAGGGGAGTGGCTGATGCTGTGGAGGAGGAAGTGGGTCCGTGCAGAGGAAACGGACCCCGATGTCCGAGCCCTGGCCCAGGCACCCAAGGGTCAAAGGGTCGCAGGTCAGGGACCTGCCTGGGTTGCGGTTCCCTCCCTACCTCGGGTTGGGGCTCCTGTGGGAGGCAACCAGTCGAGGTGTCTGTTTCACATCCATGTTTCTCTCCTTCCCTCCCACTCTCTGAAAAGGGAAAGAATATCCTCTGAGGATTGAAAACAACGTGAGAGCAGAAGGGGAAGCTGCTGAGAGAGGGGGGGGGTGGTGCGAGCAGGATGGGGGAATTTGGGACCGGGATGGCCCCACATGGTTTCTGTTTTTATTGTTTATTTTTTTAATAATACACTTTTATTGATTTTTAGAGAGGAAGGAAGGGAGAGGGAGAGAGAGAGAAACATCGATGATGAGAATCATGGATCGGCTGCATCCTGCACGCCCCCACTGGGGATGGAGCCCGCCACCCGGGCCTGTGCCCTGACCGGAACCGAACCCTGACCTCCTGGTTCCTGGGTGGATGCCAGCGGCTGACCCACCAGCCGGGCTGGTTTCTAAGACCCGCCTCGCTCTCGCTCCCCACGGCCACCCTGGCGTGGCGGTGCCCGGGGCTGCTACCCCAGGAGGGGCCGGAAGACACACACGCCTGAGACCTGGCGCCCGCGGGCCACGG